TCGAAAGAAGACAGTATTCTCCACACAGAATGGGCATTACGAATTTATGAGATTTAAAAAATGCACCCGCAACCTTTCAAACATTGATGAATACAATTTTAGGAGAGTGAATCGGAAAGCATTGTATGGTCTATTTAGATAACATAATAATATATAGCACATCGCTTCAAGAACACATGCAATCATTAGACAAAGATTTAAAAAAATTAGCAGAAGCAAATTTAAAAATACAAGTTGATAAAAGTGAATTCTTGAAAACAGAAACTGAATTTTCGGGACGTATAATTACATCTAAGGGGATTAAACCAATTAAAATTAAATATATATTGAATTATCCAATACCAAAAATTGAAAAACAAATCAAACAATTCTTAGGTTTAGCTAGTTTTTATAAAAAATTTATTAAGGACGTTTCTAAAAGTACAAAACCACTTACAATATATCTAAAGAAAGATAAATTATACCCACAAGGAATTTGTCAATGCTATTGAAACGATTAAACTTCTTATTACAAAAGAGCCAATTTTAGCATACCCGAATTATGAAAAATTATTTACCTTAACTATGGATGCTTTAGACATAGCCTTAGGAGCTGTTTTAAGCCAACAAAGCCATACACAGCAATTCAAAAAGAATTATTGGCCATATTATGGGCTACAAAATATTTTAGATCCTCAATAATTTTGCAGTGGCTCAATAATCTTAAAGAGCCCAATGCTAAATCACAAAGATGGAAAATCAAATTAACTCATTTTCCGCCGCGCGGTAAGAATTCTTATCAGTACTTTAACTGGTAACACTTAAATGTCCCTCTAGAATCTCGTATTTTACTCAGTTTTGGTCTTAAATACTGCTGCGTTGCACTCCCTACCATCACTGATTATTCCCTAGCTTTAAACCGCTATCACTCTTATTATCTGGAGTCCCATATAGACCTTGGCCTTTATTGTAAGTCTATAATGGATGAGCACTACTGTAGCATACATAATAATATAAACAATAACATCCGTTACTCATTTCATGTGTGGTCTACTTGAGAAAAATATTATTTACTTATTCTTAAGTCACACCATATTCGCAACAGCATTAATTGCTGATCTTGCAATTATGAGTCCAAGCACTTTGAGCTGCTTGTGTATTGTAGTGTCACATCAGACCATGACCACACGTAATTCAATGTGTGCGATATGATGATCTGACACTTTAACCCAAAACACTTCAAATCAATATTTATAACCCAGAAACCCAAATTGTATAGCACAATAATTTATAAGTTGGTAATTCGACTCCTTTGTTTTGTCATTTCTTTATGACAAACGTTTTAGTGCATAGCGAAGTATAATTACTTCAGCATGTGCTTGGCAATTTGGATTTCGGAATTTAGAACACATTAAAATATGTCAAGTGTTGTGCGGATCATATTGCAAGCAATTGTGCATGCAATATGATTTGCCCTCTTTTACAGTTGGTCACCATATGTGTGTCAACTATTAAGAAATGATATTGTTGACCAATGACGTAAGTATATAGAAACTAAGAATTATATTAACCAATAGAATTTAAGTAAATAGTAAAATGTAAAATAGATTATTGTAAAACCGAACTATGATCGGTATGAAAAATATAATTGTACGACAGTCGAGTTCTGAACGTTATATTGAAAAGTGTACACTAAGTTTGTTAATATGATAAATAAAATAAATAATTGAATTTGATATTAAAAATAAAAATGTGTTTGAATTTTAAATTTATGGACCTTAAAACCTCACATGGCGATCCTGTGTTTGAATGTTGGGATTGTACCCCACATGGCGATCCTGCAAATTTGCCAAACGGCAAACGGAAATATTAACTAAATAATATATTTAAAAACTTTAATTTCATAAAAAGAACTGCATTCGGCTCTAGAATCAATGTGCTAAAAGAAAAATAAAAAGTGAACTATTTTTACAAAAATTTAAAAATTTGAATAAATTTAAATGTTATATCCTCTATACAAAAAAAAAAAAAGAAAAACAATGTGCTATTAGAAGTAAAGAGTGAAAGTGAATTAATTTTACAAGATTTAAAATTTTTTTTACTATGCAAAAATTTCACTGCTTTGTTTGTGGCAAAAGCTTCAAACATAAATATATTTGAAACAGGCACTTATATAATCATAATTATATAATAAAGTATGCAAATGCCATAGTAAAAGACAATGACAGACAACATTGAATATAAAAACTACAAATAATAAATATGAGCAAATAAATGTGAAAATATATACAAAAATAAAAGAAAAATCCAAAGAAAATTTAAATTATATTTCTAAAAATTAAAATTTGTACTTTAATGTTTTTAAACTTAAAACTTATAGCAAAAGTATGTGAAATTTATACATAAAAGCATAAAAACGAAAAATAAAATATTTTGTAAAACAAACAAAAAAAAACACTCTGTGGCAAAAACTAAGTTTAAAACACAAAAGAGATTGTTAAACAAAACATAAACAAACAAAAAAAGGAAAGCAATAAAAATAAAAATCTAACAATTGGAAAAATACTGAAGAATACTGAAGAATAATGGGCTGGTTTTCACAGGACGTACCTCAAACGGAACAGAAGACAACAACCAATAATCTACAAACAGTTGGTGTCAACACAGGACATGAACAGGTAATATTAATTACAATAGTTGTAATAATAGTTATATTATACATCGCACATAAAATTAATAAATATATAAAAAAATACGTGCATAAGCATGCACACAGAAATTTATCAAACGATGTATAATACAACATAATATATTACAACTTACTATACAAAAGAAAATTTTTGAAAGAAACAAAATCTGTTTAAACAAATAGAAAAAAAAAATTTTTAAATAAAATTTTTAATTGTATTTGTAAAAAAAAAAAAAATTATATTAAAATTATATTGAAAATTATCATTATATAAAAAAAAAATAAAATGAAAAATATATGTTATTATTATACCAATCTGAATACAAATTGTATTAAATTATATTAACTATATTAAAAGAATTACATAAATGAATTAATAAATTAAAAGTAATAGAAATGAAAATTATACTGTTTAAATATTCTTTAATGGTCATTGTTTCATTACCTTTGAATAAAGTTGTACAACGATAATACCTATAAATATCGTATTATTTCGTATTTTTACTAATATTGTCTCTGATATTTCTTTCTTTTATTGTTGCTCTACTCTGTTCAATTCCCTCATATTTATGTTGGTTGATATAATAAAATATTTCTCTTTTTCTAAAACACTGTAACGACACTTTTGGTGACGTTCAAAAATTTTTAGTTTTTGCTGGGGTATCCTCAGCCGTCGTCCAGACTCGTGACAATATATTTATAATTTTGCCGAGACGTTGATTTTAGAAGAAAACAGAACGTGATTTATATGTATAAATTATATATATAACTTTATTTATTTCATAAAACTTATGATTAACAAAGTTTAATTAAAATTCATTGGAAACATTTCTAATAATAATTAAAAAAAATTATGTTGATGCCAAAATTTCCCACTTCTCCATATACTACTTGTTAAAAGAATCTTAGCAAAACCCGTGTGACTTCTTAAGCCCCTCTTCTGTTGTTAAAAAAAAATAAACAAAACATTTCCTCCGCGCTGTAAAAAAACTATTTGACCGAATAAGCCAGGTTAAAAAAATACACATAAGACAGGAAAGGAATTTTACACTACGTTTGACTCAAAGAATCAGATTTGTGGCACAATGTGCCAGATGACCAATAGGCCAGTGTACTTGTTTCAGGAAAAGTAAAATTTCAAGTTTTGGTAAAATTTACCAGAAGGCCCAATGAGCCAGAGTACTTGCTCTTTCACTTGTCGCAAACCAAGTCTCCCATTATACGAAATGCGCCTCCTTTTATATCGAGCATACCGAAGCTTTTTGGTGTAGCGTACCGGTATTCTTTGCTGTACTTGACTTCGCCGTGAAGTTGAACTTTGTGTTCTACTGTTTTTCCACTTCTTCTGCTTCGCCGTGATTTTTAGTACTTTTTTACAACGTGCCGTGTTTTGTGTGTGGTTCTTTTATTATTTAAATAATATATATAATAGTAATTTAATAATAATTAAAACGAGGTATAATATATATTTTGTGATTTTAATATTTTTACCAACTTAAATGTGAAAAGAAAAGAAATATTAAAAGAAATAAAATTGATGTTGGCGTGCTTAGTTTTTTTGTTGTGTTTTGTTTACGCATATAAAAATAAAATTGGACAACCAAAAGTGTTAAACTGTTTTGGGTTTTTCGTTTACGCATATAAAACTAAAATTGAACAACCACGAGTGTTAAATTGTTTTGTGTTTTGTCTTATTTATATATAATTGTAAAAAAAATAGACATTTGTTTAAAATTTAAACATGTTTTCGCCAATAATTGTTCATTGTTGTTGCGTTTATAAGTGTTCCATTCATAAAAGTTTTAACAAAAAATTAATTTTTTTTTCCGTATATTTTTAGAATTTACACATTTCATGTTGCGATGCCCGCGGTACATTGGCATCCAGGATCACAGGTAATGTCCATGATATTTCAAATAAATATTTTAATTCAATTTTATATTTTCCAGTTAAGTCGCCTTCAGTTATTTTCATGTGAGTTGTTAGATATATTATGTGTAGTGGTGGCGGTTATTTAACACACAGACTGTGTTTTTCTCTTCTTCTTGCTTTATGTAGCACAGAAATTTACTTTGTAAATTTGTGTCGTTACAACACTTTAATGGAAATTATTAGTACTCACATAAGTGAAGTACAAAGTATACTAAGAAACGCAAGGAAAGCTAGTGTAAGAGGATACACTAAGCAAACGATAGAAGAGAAACTAAATAGATTAGAATACCTGAAAAATTGTGTTAACTCAATATATATTGAATCCAAATTAGTAGAATCCCAAAACCTCAAAGAAATATTTTTTGAAAAATATTCGATTACACATAAACAACTTATTAAAATGTCATTAACCGAACAAACTGACAACTTAATAACCCATAACCAACCCATACCAAACCCACCAAGGACGACACAAAATACAAACACAAGGATGGCTTCGTATGACTCAATTCTGGAAAACGTAGAAAAGGTTCTACCCACATTTCAAGGAAGACAAGAGGAATTAAGTTCATTCCTCCATAGATTACAATTGTACGATAAGAAGATAACAGAAGTGAACAAACAAGAGTTCTTGGAATACATTGTAGAATGCAAACTTCACCACAATGTACGTGCTAGAGTCTCACCACTGGGTTATCCAGACACATTACAACAGTTGATAGAGAAACTTACCAAAGCTTACGTTGCAAAGAATACAGTACAACAGTTACTGCAAAGGATCAACGAAATGAGACAAGGTCACAATCAATCCGTTACAGAATTCAGTGACAAGATGGCCAAACTACTTTCAAGTCTTAATAACATCTCTTTACTTAAGAGAAATTATAATATAACTTCACCACAAGCTGAAGGCATTCTTATAAGCAATGATGAACACGCATTGTTTGCCTATAAGAAAGGACTTAATGCAACCTACTCACAAACGGTACAGGCTGCACAACCTAAATCTTTTCAAGAAGCTAGGGACTTTGCGGAAAATTTAGTTTTTCCAGATCAACGACAACAGGTTTTATATACTCAACACTACCGTGGCAATATGTCGCCACAACAATACAATCAAAGGAGAAATTTCTCTAACCATTTGAATAGGAATAATCAAATAAGAAACCAATATAATAATAATAGGCAGCATAATAGTCAAAGAAATCAATATAATAATCAAAGAAATCAATTTAATAATTACCAAAATAATAACAGTTCAAGAAACCAATATCAAGGAATTCAACGTAACAACAACCAAAGGTACCAACGTAACAATGGTCAAAGAAACCAAAACTATCAACATAACCAGAGAAACACCTATAACAGGAATATGAACCAAAGACATGTTCGCTTAACATCATCACAGGAAAACTACATGCGACCAGAGGAAAACCAGTAGAACTCTCCTCTGGTAAAACTAAAAATAATATCTACACGTATAACCCCAATATATCTAATTACATAAAAGTATTTTGCCAAAATACTAACACCTTCATAAAATTATTAATTGACACAGGTGCAGACGTGTCAATAATTAAATATAAACACAACATAGATTATAATTCAAATAAAACCTTAATATTAGTTGGAATTACAGACAGTTACAGAACATCTCTAGGAACCACAAACCTACAGATAAAATTTTTTTTTTTTTTTTTTTTTTTTTTTTTTATTGCTACAACTATTTACATTATAAATAACGAGTAGCTTGAATCTGATAAATACTATACATACATAAATAAGCAATTTATTTTCTACACAAATTACTTTACATTCTAATTCAATGCCATATCAGCGACATTTCGCCGTTTTAATCGTCTCTGTTGTCCATACGAAGTTATGATGTTAACAGCTTCTATGTTGACATGTTGCTGCAACCTCAGTTTGTGTCTTGTTGCTTTCTGTTTTGATGAAACATATTTACATTATGCATTTTCAGTAGTGGAGAAAAATTTTCCCATAGAAGTCGACGGTATCATTGGAAGGGATTTTCTAACAAAATTCCAATGTAATATTGATTATTACACCTTTTTACTCACAGTAAACAACAACGAACAAGAAACAACTGTTCCCATTTACTACAAACCAATAGTAATTCAAGCAAGAACAGAGCATATTTTACCGATAGATATGTACTTCGAAGAAGACACATTGCTAATTTCTCAAAAAATTGACAAAGGTGTTTTCATCGCAAATACCATAGTTCCCGGAAAAAGAAACTGTCATGTTCGAATTTTAAATACTAATGAACATGACGTTACACTTAATAGATTAAAATTCCAAAACCGACCACTTAAACATTACATGTTGCCTGAGCAACAACGTTTAATAATCCCTTAAATAAAATATTAAATATATGAAAACAACAGATACTTGTTTAAATAATAAAACATTAATAAAAAGATATTACACTACACCAAATTCCTAGTCGCTATGCGCAACCACCAGACCCCTACTCCCTTCCACTCCATGCTACAACACCTTTTCAATACCACTCAAGAATTCTTAAAAACACACGGCGACATACTACTAGTGCAATCCGACAAGTGCAAGACTACCATACTAATCTATAAAACATCTTACATTGACAAAATTAATACGTGGTTTCAGAATTATCTCGCCATTGGATCTTGTGTCCAAATTACTTCTGACCGCGATCAACTTGCGCGTAAGATCCAGGTCCAATATCGTAAAGTCATCCGCCCTTTATGTCGCATGCATAATCAGGACCCTCAACTATACCCCTCTTCTATTAATGCCAGTCTCAAAAAATTACTATTTGATTTACCAACCATGCCCTATCTCTACGCCACAATCAAAACCCATAAACCTGAACATCCGATTCGTCCTATTTGCAGTCCGCTGCATTGGTATTATGCCTCTATTTCCTCACTATCACTTTCCAAGATAAGCTCTCTTGCCACAATCTAATAAACCCCGATCACTTGACTGATCATATATTACAACTACGCCCACGTCCTGGTTATGTCCTTGTTACTATGGACATAAAAGATATGTACCCAAATACCCGAGTTACACGCTTATGGGAACTCTTACAATACTTCATGAATGAAGACTGGTTCAAACAGGCTTGTCCTATTGAATGTTGAGCTCTCTCCTTGATTTTCTTTTACATAAAGCTAGTCTTTTCACATTCAACGGTAACTTATTCCACCAAATACAGGGTCTGCCCCAAGATGGGGGGTCTTCTGGTTTACTCGCAACTATTTTCTTAGATTCAATGTTAGAGCTCCATTACAGCCAATTATTCTCATCCCATAGCGTGCTAACTTGGTGGAAATATATAGATGACGTCCTCCTATATATGCCTTCTGTCACCGTTTGCAGTTTTATGGATTCCTTTCCTCTATGTAAAGGCTACGATGTGTCATATACTTTAGAACAACCAGAAATAGGTTATGGCCCTCTTCCCTGTGTCAATTATCTCGATTATCGCATATTCCATTCTTCTAATAGATTCTTAATTAGCCTCTACCATAAGCCCACCGAATCACTCCGTCTGACCCATTATACATCTCACACCTCAATTCAGAATAAACGCTCAGTAATTAGATCTCATTTAAGACGCATATTATACCGCACCAGCGATACCTTCCTCTCCAAAGATCTATCCAATTGCATTTCAAAACTTTTAGTCAATGGCTACCCAAAGTATCTCGTCCAACTCGAAATAGAAAAACTACTCACAAACTACACCCAAACACACGGGCAACCATCCACTCCTGCATATCATATCATATCTATTATATATATATATCATATCATACCATTATATCTATTATAGGTTCTGGTTTATGTTTTATTGGTTATGATGATAACTATATACATTTGTAAACGTTGTATTATATGCTATGTGTTATAATGGTGATTTGATATTTTGGTTTGAGATGTGGTGATGGTTGTGTGGCAGGATAGATTTTGGTAAGAATGTATACTGGTTATTGAGTTTGTTTGTAACTACTTACTTGCAAATTATGTAAATTTAAGAGTTATGTAAATTATGTAAGTAGGTATGTAGATATTGAATCACGTGGTGGTTGGTAGTGATAGGAAACATACATACTTTCTCTTATACGGACGATATAGTGACATATGACATTATGTTTGAATTTTAATTGTCCCATATCCACTCTGATGAGCCTGGGTGGTTCCCAGGCGAAACACGTCAGTGGGAACCGACAGAGGACTGGAACTTATTTCAGCTTCCGAATGAAAGTTTGTGGGAATTTTAATTCCATATTATATGGACGTGTGAGTGAACTGATAAGACTATTACTAAATAGATTTAATATTGTAGTATTTTATAGTATTTTTGTTGAATTTTCTTTGGGTATAATTTTTTAATAACTTTAATGATTTCTTTTGATATTTATGTGTTATGATTTTAGTAATAATCTTGTAATTTTTTAATGTGTTTAATATGTTCAATATGTTTACTGGCTTAATATTAAATGTTTATTTAATTTTAATTTTTGTTGATTGTGGCTTTAAGTTTGGATTCTAAGATATGGTGCTTGATCATTTTATCGTTCATTGTGAGCGGTGAAGGGGTTAATGCGCTGTATAGACATTACATGATATAATAACTTTTAGTGCATAATCATATTATTTAAAATTTCTATTTACATATTTAATAATTTTGAAATTAATTTTTTAACTGAATACATATTTTTTAATTTAAAAAAAACGCATTTTTAGGTTTGGTAGGTTCGAAAACTTATGCGAATGGAAAATGTTCGCATATTTTTTAAGGAAACATTTGAGAAGAGACAGTATTGTGCAGGCGTCTTTCTAGACATAACTAATGAATCGACAAAGTTTGACACAAAGGATTATTTTGGAAACTTGAAAAACATTTACCATACAATATATTCTCATTTATCAAAAACTACCTCTCAAAAAGAAGATTTGTTATAAAACAAAATTCTTTTGTCTCCAATGCATTCCCCATTATGGCCGGTGTACCCTAAGGTAGTGTACTGGGTCCCTTGTTCTACCTGAATTTCATAGCCGATATGCCAACCAGTGACTATACAACAACATCGACATTTGCGGACGACACTGCCATTCTCAGCCATAGCGACGACCCTTTCACAGCAACAAAATCAGTTCAAGACCACCTTAAAAACTGCTAAAATGGATAGATCTCTGGAGAATAAATGTTAACGAATCGAAAAGTGTACACATAACTTTTAATCTACGACGAGATACCTACCCTACACTTCATATTAATGGGAAAGTAATACCCCAATGCAATGACACAAAATAGTTAGAAATGCACCTCGAATGAAGGCTTACATGAAAAAAGCACATAGAAACCGAAGTAACCCAATTAAAACTCAAGCAACAAGAACTAAACTGGCTGATAAACAAAAGTTCGAAACTTAATCTTAGCCATAAAGTGCAGTTTACAATACAATGATAAAACCCATATGGACCTACGAAATTGAACTCTGGAGCTCTGCTTCTCCATCAAACATTCAAAAACTCCAAAGAGCTAAATTAAAAATTCAAATTTTTCCTAAAAAAATTTGTCTTCTCTAAAGAAAAAATCTGTTTTATGTATACAAAACCAAATTACAAATAACGTGACATTGTTTATTTTGGGATAAAATATTTTGTATCTCTATTGGCGATAAATCTATATCACGTATTTAGCGATAAGATTATATGTTAAGTTACTATATAAGCAATTCAATTTTATAAATAAATTTAGTGTCTTACAAACATTCAAAGCGTAAAATTTTACTTCGGGGTAATATTTAATATTTTGGTCCTTCGAGCCTTTTTGTATCCCCCACCAGTGGTAAGATACTTAAGATTTTTAGAATCAGTGGAAAAGCGTACCTGTGGCTTAGACAACAGGATAAAATAAAGCAAGTGTTTAAAATTGTGAAAGCGTATATGTGGCTTAGACAACAGATTATATATTAATATCTACTTCTTTTCGGGTTTAATAAATTTAATCTGTCGAACTTATTAAGCGTTCCTGTGACTTAAACAGCAGGTTAAAAAATTAAACGGTTATATCGGGCGCGTTCTGTAAAAAAAAAGTGTTAAAATGCCTATATCAAGAAGCGCAGCTGAGAAGCAGTTTGATCGACTGAAAGATATTGCATATATGCTGTAAATAAAGGAGAAGGAGATCGGCATGCTAGAGATGTCGTCAGCAGATATTAAGAAAAACAAAAAGTGTTTAATTAATGCATGGCGTTTATACACTGAGTCATTTGAATTCATATGTGAAACACCTTATAAGGAAGATCCTCAATTAAAAGAAACAGATGAGGCTGCTTCAGAAGCATACAAGAAGATTCAAAAAGTATTAAATGATTTGTTCAAAATCATGCTTGGAAAGCAAAAAAGTCTTCAGATCCA